AGTTGGGCAGTTTATGCAGGTCTGTAGCAGATGTTGGAGGAAGTGGGTGGATAACATTAAGTGGGTGTGGTATCCTAAAATAATCTAGGAGGCAGTTTTGGAGCAAATTGTTTAAGGTCAAGGACGCTTGTCTTTTCTTTCTTGTATCTTTTTTTTTTTTTAAACCCATAGTGCCTAGTAAAATGTTTCACACATAATATGGATGATGCCTATTTCAGAAAAACACCCTGTAGCTCAGTTATGATAGGTCTGTAAATCATATATTCATTTAATCAATCATGCTGCAAGTATTTATTGAACTCTTAATACATGCTATGCCTTTTTCTAGCTACTGGGATGAATCAGTGAATAAAACAGGTAGCATTTTTTGCCCTCATAGAATTTACATTCTAGTGCATGTAGAGTGGGTGGGGGATGGGAGTAGACAGGAGCCGACGATAAATGATAAACGTAAAATATAAGTAAGTTCTGTGGTTTGTTGGATGGTGATAATTATTATGGAAAAATGAGTCAGGATAAGGAGGGTCTGTAGAGCTATTGGAGCAGGAGTCAGGTAACAGTTTAAATTTGGGTGGTTGAAATATGCCTCTTTGAGAAGGTACTTTTGAGCAGAGATTTGAGGGAGGTGAGGGTAGGAGGCATGTAGTTATATGAGAGAGGTGCCTTCCAAGCAGAGGGACTGTCACTTAGGCTGGAGAGTGGATTGTTTGAGGAACAGGAAGAAAGACAATGTGGCTAGTTAGACTGATGTGAGGATGAAAGAGCACCCGGAGATGAGACCAAAGAGTAGCAGGGAGAGTGAGGGGCAGATGGATTATGCGAGGGCTCTTGAAAGCCATTGTCAGGACTTTCCTGTCCAATTAATTTAACATCCATCCCACATTCCCTCTGCTCAGCACTTGGTTGAGTGTATTCTTACTCTTCCCTGCGTAATGTCATAAAATCAGATGCTTAAACATCATCTCATTCTGAAGACCTCACTGGGCTTCATGGTTACTCCTGTCATTATTCTCTACATTCAGATATTCACTGTCATCCAGTCCAACTTGTTTGTGGGTTTTTTATTTGTCGTTGTTGTTTGGCAGCTGCATTCTTTAACCTAAACACTGTTCTATTGTGCCAGTCAAGGCTGCATGTTAAGTCTTTCTTGGTTCTGACTGCTATGTTTTAGTGCTTTTAAACTCCTTTTAGGTATGAGATACCAAAACCAGGCATTTGCTGGAGGTAAACTAACAGTCAAGCTGCAGTAGGATTAACAATCTTGGCCAGGCGCTGTGGCTCACACCTGTAGTTCCGGCACTTTGGGAGGCTGAGGCAGGCAGATTGCTTGAGCCCAGGAGTTCGAGGACAGCCTCGCCAAAATGATGGAACCCTGTCTCTACTAAAAATACAAAAATTGGTGGGGCATGGTGGTACATGCCTGTAGTCCAAGTTACTTGGGAGGCTGAGATGGGAGGATCATTGGATCCTGAGAGGTGGATGTTGCAGGTTCCACCTTCCTATGATTGTGCCACTGCATTCCAGCCTGGGTTACATAGTGATACCCTGCCTAAATTTTTTTAAATCTTTGTATTAATCATTAATCATGTGTTCATATTAAGGGGCATTATTTTCAAGTCTTGTTATAGGCCGTGATCTAGAATCTGCTTCCACATTTCTCTTAGTAAGCAGCATACATACCAAAGACTGTCTTGTCAGCTTTCCTCATTCCCCTGCAGTAGTTAAGGTGGTCCAAGTTACCCTAGTATCCATGAACGTATTAAATGTTAAATGTGTGATACAAATCATTCTTTTCTTTCAAAGTGGTGACAGTCTGAAATGATACCTGAGTCGGCAGGTAGGGGTGAAATATCTGTTTTTTTGGGAGAGCACAGATCATGGTGTAGGCCTCCTGTGTAATACAGGCATGTTCAGTTTAAACTATTTGAATAATTTCCCTTGACCTACTTAAATTTTCTGACCTCCGAGAAGTTGCTGCTTCATGCAAAAGTCCCTGAAAAAAATAAATAAAAACAACTGAACCTAAGTGGCTGTATGGGTATCCTTTCAACAGTGGCTGCACAATAAGCAGGATTTAATTTAGTAAAAAAATATTTGAGTACTGAGTCTTGGAACGATTTTGTTCCCAGCATTGCAGGGGTTTTAAAGAGAGGAAGACACAGTCCTGGCACTGAAGAGACTTAAGTGTAGTAGGGGATATAACGGCAGATTGAGAGATTGAGAGCAAGAGAGTAGAGACTGATTAGGGAGAAGTTACGAGAGGTAGCATGGGTTCCAAATCAGCATGAGAGGATTTTGAAAGCATTGAGTTGAAGTCCGTGATAGAAATTTATTGAACGAACATCATTAGTTGGGAGAAAAGGTGAGAGTGGCATCAAGGGTACTGTTTGCATTTTGAGCTTGCGTGACTGGCAGAGTGGTCGAGCCCCAGTGGAAAGCAGGAAGAACTGGTTTTGCGGAAAGAATAATCTCACTGATATGTTGAATTTGACACTCTTACAATTGTAGGAGCCATCCTGCCAACAGTTAGGAAATGTGTTATGGTAGTTTGGGTGAGGGATTATGTCCTGAGATATAAATTAAAGTGGAAAAAAGTAAATTGTACATGTATATGATGTATCGACAATTTTGAGAAAATGGAAAATACTAAATAGATGTTATACTTAATCCAGTTACTGAAGCTTTGAAATTCCATTGCAATTATATTATGTTTTGTTTTGGTGGTGCATAAATTCCCACTTGATAATTAACTTTTATGTCCTTTCTATTTTTATTCTATACTTTTATTTTCCGTGTGTGTGTGTACATGTATATATATATATTTTGTGTGTGTGTGTACATGTATATATATATATAGTGTGTGTGTGTGTGTGTGTGTGTGTGTGTGTGTGTAGATAGTCTCACTACATTACCCAGGCTGGTTTCGAGCTCTTGGCTTTGGCTTCAAGTGATCCTCACACCTTGGCTGCCCAAAGTGCTGGGATTACAAGCATGAGCTCCTGCACCTGGCTTATTTTATTACTTCATTCTGTTGCTCGTACATATGCTTCCTCATAGTGGAATTCACTGATTCCTCGGTATCCCTGCTTGAATCAAGATGGTTTCCAGGTAATATAGTGGTTAAGAATTTGGGCTTTGAAGTCAAACAAAACTAGGTGTGATTTTCTCATCTTCCCTCCTTTTACTTGCTTTTTGTTCCTGAGTTTTCTCATCTGATTCTCTTGGGGATTAAATGAAATAATAGAAAATCATACATATTGGGCCTCAGTAAATGGTTGGTGAAGTGCATAGTGGTGATGAGGATGACTAATAACATTTACTCACATCTCATTAGGTTTATCCGTGCTTCTGGATTTTGCAGGCATGGAGACGTGAAGTGGAATGGGGCCCTGCCATGGAACATGAGTTCAGTGGTTGCTCAGCCTACCTCTTCATGGTGCTCTGTGCTCTTTTTGCCATCTCTTGAATAGACTGATTGAGACACAACAAACTTACACCCTCTTGGTCCTCTTCACTCATTTTTTACCATAGATGCTACCTTCAAGTCTGGAATTGACTTTTTCACACCTACCTTTCTGTGAGAACTTGCAGAAGTCACATTGGTTTTCTCACTCACAAAACATAAATACAGCCAGTGGTCGCTTATAATCTGTGTATTCAAAGTGACTTAATTTTGACCTTTTCTTTCCTGCTGCCTGTCTTCTGCCCATATCACTACTATTGAATTTCAGTGCAAGAGAATGAATATGGGTTCATTTTAGCCACTTATCAAGGATTTTTAATAGTAGATAGTGAAAGTACATTACTTACCATGAGCCTTTCTGAGTTTTGTTTTCTCTGTCCATCTGCCCATGCTGTTCCTGACTCCTGTTATGGATAGTAGGATTTGGCAGTTGGGTAAACCAAATAAGCACTATCTGCTAAAGAATTTAGAAACTTCAGCATAAATTCAGCCTAAGGGTTTTTGTTTGGTTTGTTTCTGAGACAGAGTTTCACTCTTGTTGCTCAGGCTGGCATGCAATGGTGCGATCTCGGCTCACTGCAACCTCCGCCTCCTGGATTCAAGTGATTCTCCTGCCTCAGTCTCCCAAATAACTGGGATTATAGGCACGTGCCACCACACCCAGCTAATTTTTTGTATTTTTAGTAGAGATAGGGTTTCACCATGTTGGCCAGGCTAGTCTCAAACTCCTGACCTCAGGTGATCCACCTGCCTTGAACTCCCAAAGTGCTGGGATTATAGGTGTGAGCCACTGCACCTGGCCAAGGTTTTTATGATTATAATTATTTTTAAAATTGTGATTTTAATACTGTTACTCAAAAATTCTAAGGAATTTACAGCTGAAAATTTTACATATACCATCTTTAGTGTAACACTCTGTATGTTTGTTACCATAAAAGATACAAAATAATCAGACTACTCTTTATTTCATTTATTTTAAATTTTATGTAAATTTATATTAAGTTTTGTGAAATGATAATGTATAATGACTTCTTATAAAGTTTCCTGTACTTTTGTGATAGTTTGCTAGAAGTAGTTTTTTTTCCTTTCCGGTATGTGTTTGTGTGTGTGTGTGTGTGTGTGTGTGTGTGTGTGTGTGTTGAAAAGACTGGGACTCAGAGGAAAAGAATTTTGTTTCATTTTTGGTAAGGGATTTCACAAACTTAGTTTGGGGACAGGAGGATATCTCAGGTAATCTTGGAAAATGTATGTCAGTTTTCTTAAAAGAATTTTTTAATTGAGCAAAATTAACTTTTTGTAGAAACTATTTTTTTGTAGGGGGCAGAATGCTGTATAGTCACTAGCAAAAAGGTCTGAAAAATATGTATAGATTAAAATTCTTCCTTGGATCACCTCTTTCTCCATATTCGCACATTAACTTTATAACAAATAAGACATATGTCTCCTTGTGAGAGAAGTGAGAAATGGTAGACTGAGGTCAGGTGAATTGTCTGGATATGAACTTACAGGGTCACATGAAAAAGGAGTAAGAAGCTTCCTTTTCGATCCGCCATCTGCGCCTCACGTGGGGCCGCCACCAAAATGCAGATTTTCGTGAAAACCCTTACGGGGAAAACCATCACCCTCGAGGTTGAACCCTCGGATACGATAGAAAATGTAAAGGCCAAGATCCAGGATAAGGAAGGAATTCCTCCTGATCAGCAAAGACTGATCTTTGCTGGCAAGCAAGCGGAAGATGGATGTACTTTGTCTGACTACAACATTCAGAAGGAGTCTACTCTTCATCTTGTGTTGAGACTTCGTGGTGGTGCTAAGAAAAGGAAGAAGAAGTCTTACACCACTCCCAAGAAGAATAAGCACAAGAGAAAGAAGGTTAAGCTGGCTGTCCTGAAATATTACAAGGTGGATGAGAATGGCAAAATTAGTCGCCTTCGTCGAGAATGCCCTTCTGATGAATGTGGTGCTGGAGTGTTTATGGCAAGCCACTTTGACAGACATTATTGTGGCAAATGTTGTCTGACTTACTGCTTTAACAAACCAGAAGACAAATAACCGAGTTAATAAAAGACATGAACTAACAAAAAAAAAAAAAAAAGAAAAAGGAGTAAGAAAGCTCACATGCTTGAATAAAATGTAGCAGTTTCCTCAAGTCTTTTTTGTGTAACTAACATGCTTGAATCCAAAAGCAGCTCAGGGCACTCAAATAGTGAAATGGCACATGGTCTTTCTATGAGAAAGCTGTGTTTATTTAAACAGTGGATGCTTATCTTTTCCTTTATGTTCAGATTCTCAGATTACAGTAATAGCTGCCATTTATTAGTGCTTTATTATGTTCCAGCTGTTGTAAATTTTTCACATTTTTATTTTCTCATTTAATCTTCAGAAATCACTTATGGAGACAGTTGCCAAGATCATCCTTATTTTAAGGTGAGGGAAAGCAGAGGAAGTGGGTGGGCGTGCGGTGCCTCATGCCTGTAATCCCAGCACTTTGGGAGGCCAAGGCCGAAGAATCACTTGAGACTCTTTGAAACCAGCCTGGTCATCATAACAAGACGCCATCTCTACAAAAGAAAATTAAAAAATTAGCTAGGTGTGGTGGCATACACCTGTAGTCCCAGCTAGTTGTTGGAAGTCTGAGGTGGGAGGATCACTTGAGTCCAGTTAGAGGCTGCAGTGAGCCATGATTGCAGCATTGCAGTCCAGCTGGGGCAACAGTAAGAACCTGTCTCAAACGAACAAAGGAAAAAGAAATCCAGTAATTTGCCCAGTTTAAGAGGTTGGTCTGGGATTCCGTTTAAAGTCTACTGATCTCAAACTCATGGTCTAACTACCTGGTACTGTTTCTGGTGTATTCTCATGATATCATAGGCCGCAGGTACTTCACCTTCATAGAATAAAACCAGATAATGTTTACATTTGAAAGAGATAATAAAGAACCACGCTTCAGGCTGGGTGTGGTGGCTCACACCTGTAAATCCCAGCACTTTGTGAGGCTGAGGTGGGTGGATCACCTGAGGTCAGGAATTTGAGACCAGCCTGGCCAATGTGGCAAAACCCTGTCTTTACTAAAAATACAAAAAAATTAGCTGGGTACGGTGGCGGTTGCCTGTAATCCCAGCTGTTCGAGAGACTGAGGCATGGCAGTCACTTGGATCCAGGAGGCAGAGGTTGCAGTGAGCTGAGATATGGCTATGTCATTCCAGCCTGGACAACAGAGAGATACTTAGTCTCAAAAAAAAAAAAAAAACTTTCATTGTTTAGCTTAAAAAATAAAATAAAATAATTAGGCCCAAAGTTTGTTTGTTTTGTTTTGTTTTTGAGACAGAATAGTGCTCCATCACCCAGGCTGGAGTGCAGTCACACAATCTCAGCTGCCTGGGCTCAAGTGATTCTCCTGCCTCATCCTCCCGAGTAACTAGGATTACAGGTGCCCACCATCATGCCCAGCTAATTTTTCGCATTTTTAGTAGAGATGGGGTTTCACCACTTTGGCCAGGCTGGTCTTGAACTCCTGGCCTCAAGTGATCCACCCACCCTGGCCTCCCAAATTGCTGGGATTACAGGCGTGAGCCATAGTGCCTGGCCAGGCCCAAAATTTTAAACAGTTTTTCATTCAGCCAACCAATCAACTAGCATATATTTACTGAGTATCTACTATATGCCAAGTAACAAGTACGTCAAACAAGGCCCAGGCCTTCATGAAGTCCCACTGGCCTTTAGTCATGGATTTGGTGGTGGGTTATTGGTGGGAGGCATTAGTTGAATAGCATGTTGGCTTTGAATGCTGTTCATTAGCTGAGGGACAATGGGCAAACTGTTCATTCTTTTTAAAGCTCAGTTTTTTCACCTGAAAATGGTAATAAGAATAAGATCTATTACACTGTCTTACTGTGAAGATTAAATGTAAATCACTTAGCAAGATATCTGACACTTGGTAAATGCTCAGTAAGTATTAGCTGCTAATAGTATAATTAGAAATAGGCCGGATGCAGTGGCTCATGCCTGTAATCCCAGCACTTTGGGAGGCTGAAGTGGGAGGATTGTTTGAGCCCAGGAATTTGAGACCATTGTAGGCAACAGAGTGAGACCTCATCTCTATTTGAAAAAATTATTTTTATTATTTTATTTTATCATATCTAACTGCAGCTTTTAACACCTGGACACAAGTGATCCTCCTGCCCTAGCCTCTGAAATAGCTACAACTATAGGCACATGCCATTACACATGCTAACAAAAATTAAATTAGAAATATTTCTAGTAGTAACTGTATTTCACCCTGACAAGGAAGGTACATACAAAGATATTTATAGTAATATGTGAGTTATATGATGGGAAAGAAATGGAGAGCTTCAAAAATGCAGTAGAGCCAGACCTAACTCCCAGTTCAGTCAGGGAAGGTTCTGGTGCAGCAATGCTGTTTTCTGTTTCACCTTCTTTGAGTGTGTGTGTGTGTGTGTGTGTGTGTGTTTTAAACTTGATAACTTATTTGTTACCCTAAATCCTGGTGTTCTTTGACTTAACACCAGTTTGCCAGCACATATTTGTTCATAATTAGCTATGTGCCAAGCACTATGCAGAATGCGGGGGATGGAATAATCAATGGGATGTAGACTTGGCCTTTTAAGGAGCATGTGTGTCTCTGTGTATGTGTATATAGTATACACATGGACACACACCTGAAAATACAATAGTTGTAATAAATGATGCTAAGTTTGCTAATAAATGGTGTAAAATAGAGCCCAAAGAAGGGAATGATTAATTCTTTGCTCTGAATGTGGGGCAGGGGTAATGTAGGAGGCTCCATGGGAGAGGAGGCACTTGTTCTGTGTCTTGAAGGATCATAAGCTTGTTGTAGTTAGAGAACATTTCAAAATCAGGGGAGACCATAACCTGGGAATACTAAGGTATGAATTGGCACAGCAGGAGCATATGGTGCAAGAAAGTAATAGAAAGAAATGTCATTTCTGTAGGTAGGAGTGGTGGAAAGGGAAGCCACTGGATGCTTTTAAGCAGAGGAGTCACATTGCTGGGTTTGAATGTTAGGGTCACTTTAGGGGTGATGGCAAGGGTAAATTGAAGAAGATGAGATTTGTAGTACACAAGGTGAAAGAGGATGAGGACTCGATGGGCCACAGTGTCAATGAGGAAGAAAGGAAGGGAGGGAGGTGCAGGCTCTAGAGGCACCAAATAAACAGAACCGAGGGGCTCTAGTGATCAGCTGATGTGGAGCCAGGTGTAGTGAGCGGTGGTGTCTAGAGTGATTCTGGATTCTGATTTGGGCAACTGGTTGCCATCAACCAGAATGGGGAATAAGACATCAAGAAAAGACAGTGAGTTCACTTTGAAATGTTAACTTTCAGGTTTATCTGGTGTACTAACACAGGGATACTCATTGGCAAGATGGATCACAGGTATGTTCAGTAAAGATGTATATAGTGGAAATCTTCATTTGGAGTCACTGGTGGTAGCTAAAACCTTTTCAGTTACTCAGGAAGAAAACATATTGGATAAAGAGAGGAAAGTCTTGAAGAGAACATGGGAATACCAGGGTACTAGAAGGAATGCAGAGAGAAGGAACTGTTATAGAGGTTTTGAGAGAGTCAGGTGTTGTTAAGAGGACAAAGTTTCACAAAGGGAGTAGTGTACAGGGTGAAGCACTACAACAGGACCAGGAACTGAAAGGGGGTCAGGATAGCCTTTTGGGCCTGGCGTGGTGTCTCATGCCTATGATCTCAGCACTTGGGGAGGCCAACGCGGGCAGATCACTTAAGGTCAGGAGATTGACACCAGCCTGGGCAACATGGTGAAAGCTCATCATTGCAGTTCAGCCTGAGTGAGACCCTATCTCAAAAAAAAAAAAAAAAAAAAGCCTTTTGGATTTGGCCATCTGGAAGGAAAGTAGTCACAGGTAACCTTGTCCTATTGGAACTTTTTTGTGGTGGGTTGCAAAGTGGATGGAGCTGCTGGAGTCTCCCCTTAAGAAGCCAGGCAGTGGGGGAATGGAGGACATGCCAGTACCATCTACAATAAAGGGGAGGGTTTTGTTTTTCCTTAATGGGCGAGACTCCAGCAAGCCCAGGTTTTGAGAACGAATGGCTAGGACTAATTAAATTGAAGATAAGAAAGAAAGAGGAATTCCTGGGAGAGTGAAGCCCCTAGAGGCAGAAAGTACCTCTTCTGAACCTATAGGCCTTGGTGCAGATACAAAGGAGTTTTGAGGGTGAAGTTTACAGAGACTTAGGTCTCATGACCTCAATTTGCTCTATTAAGTAGACCATGAGGTTATCTGCAGAGAAGAGTAGCAGAGTTTGGCCAGAACATTGAGATGAGTCAAGTGATGTCTTTGAGATTAATGCAACCTAGTTTTTTTACTGGATGACTTTCTTGCCTCACCTTGTCTGGAGCTGTACCATGTTGGACATGCTTGGCTCATTTAATTCCTGAAAGCCTTAGTTCTTCATTTCCTGTGTCCTGTTTGGCTTTTGCTCTTTGCCTTATCACGCCACACATTTAACCTTGACCTAGCATGAACTCATAGCTATTCACCCTCCCTTTGTGTTTCTGTTTTTTTAAATGATATCTGCTTGTTTCTTTTCTTACTGAGTTTATAACAAAATTTACTCTCCACTGTTGCCCTTTTAAAAGTTAGAATCCTGCCTTCATTTGTTTTGACTTTTTTTTTTCATATATATATACACCTAGCCAGACACTGTCCTAGGATTGGGATATAACAGTGCTCTGGGAGAGAGATTAAACTCCAAATAAAAGGTTATAAAATAATTTCAATTAGCTGGGCATGGTGGAACATGCCTGTAGTCCCAGCTACTTGGGAGGCTGAGGTGGGAGGATCGCTTGCACCTGAAAGGTTGAAGTTGAGGTTGCTTGCATCTGGGAGGTTGAGGTTGAGACTGCAGTGAGCCGAGATTGTGCCACTGCTCTCTAGTCTGTACAACAGAGTGAGACCCTGTCTTGGAAAAAAAAGGGATTTTGAGTTTGAGTTTTGTAAGTATTGGTAAGGAAACAAAGGGGTGAAAATTCTGCATGAGGTAGGATGGTCAGGAGAGGATTGATTCCATGAGAAGGTGACATTGATGTTGAAAGATAAAGGTGAAAATGAGCTTACTGTTTGTAGAGGGGAGAAGGGAAATAGTAAGTCTTAAAAAGTAGTTATTGTTTTCATAAATAGACATTCCATACGTATTGGATTGTGTGTGAGTAGGTAACTGCCTGGAGCTGTTTGTGGTATTCTTATGTCTTCCCTATTGGTCTTTCCCTGGTTCCTGAAAGCCCCATGTAAGACCTGTAACAGATTATACTCCTCTGCTTTAAAGCAGATGACTTTTTTTTTTTTTTTTGAGATGGGTTCTCTTTCTGTCACCCAGGCTGGAGTGCAATGGTGTGATTATGGCTCCCTGCAGCCTTGACCTCCCAGTCTCAAGCAGTATTCTTACCTCAGCCACCTGAGTAGCTGGGACTACAGATGCATGCCCCCATGACTGGCCCATTTTTTGCATTTTTGTAGAGATGGGGTTTCATCATGTTGGCCAGGTTGGTGTTGAACTCCTAGCCTCAAGTTATCTGCCTGCCTCAGCCTCCCGAAGTGCTGAGATTATAGACATGAGTGACCACACCGGATGACTTTTTAATGTATTTTTTTTAAGAAATATTGACAGGAAACGTAGCCGTTACCGAACACCTACTATGCATTTATGAGCAGAGGAAAAAAACAAGGCACATGTGCATTTCTTTTGCTCAGTTGGATGATTTTTCTCTCTGCCCTCCCTCCCTCCCAACATCAGCATCTGTGGCTTCTCAAGGCATTAGTCATCCATAGGACATGAGGTTATAAATTTGTATATTGATAAGAAAGTTTATTTCAGAACTTCTCATGTGATTCTGATCCAATAGCCTATTTTCCCAGCCCAGTTGAAGATCATCAATTTTTATTTCATGAGAAGAGGGTGCATGTATGTGTATGAAATTGCCATCATTAGCTCACCACCATTATATGAATTAGTTGAAATGACTATTGGAACTTTAGTCCCAAAAGTAGACATTTGGGACAGATCTGAAGCTCAGGACATTGGGCCTAGATGGCTGTCACTATTTGGCATCTTTAGCTGGGGAACAGTATAAGGGTTCCAGATTTCTTGGAGATCAGAGGAATAGAAGGAGGTACTGAAAGGAAGCTAAGCAAAGGAGAACAAGAAAACACTGAGGGTTAACTATGCTGACCTCATATTTTGTCTAGAGTCAGCTCAGATAAGTTGACATAAAGCATAATTTTCCAGGGCAATATCTAGTGTTTTCTTGAGGCCCAAACTTGTAGAACTAAGTTATTGTTCTTAAGAAAAAAGGAGATTAAGACTAGAATTTGTATAATGGTTTATTAGGCTTCAGAACCCTTCTTGAGGCATCCTGGCAAGTTCTCCTGAAAAGGAAAGGTATTCAAAGGTACTGTGTTGATCCCTCAAAACAGAAGTTCTCAACAGTTTTTCTTGCTGTCACTCAAGGAATGTTGACATTGACAATCACAGTGGTCTTCTATGAAAGCGTTGATCACATTCCAAGAATTCTATCCCTTTGCCTTTTAGGGAAGTACTAGTGATATTATCATAGGAATGGTTTGGATATATCTTAACTTGAGTTATTGTTAGTAACAATAGCACGATGAGCTTAGAAAACTGAGAACAATTTCTTTTATATTTAGACATTTATTACTTTCATAATTAATTTATCTGACAAATAGTATAAAGAAGATTGTGTTTTTGAAAACAACCTTATACATCTTTAGCAAGCAACATTTTCATTTATATGTGGAATGCTCTTTGCAGTTGTCCATCAATGTTTGGTTTGATTCCCCCCATTATAATTCTTCATAAGCTCAGAGAAGACATCTCTAGTGCTATATGAAATATAAATGATTCCTGGTAAATGGATGGGAATTTAGACTGTCAATTTAATAACATATATACCCACATTTATAGTATAAATAGAGGTGAGACTACATTAAGAACATACTAATGTTAAATTTATGTATGTGTTCACTTGAGACACTTCCCTGGAGCTTAGGGTGATGTCTGAATTGTAAAAATGTGTCATTCAAATTGTAGCTAGCCAGAATTTTATGGTTCTAGGTTCCCCAGTAGTTTTCCTGGTATTAAAAGGTATGCTTGCTTTTAAAATATAGAAGTTGAAAATGGAGTTGATCTCCCTTTATATTGACCATAGTAAGCAAAGAGGAAATCTTTAAAATGTTTTCATATATTTAGGATGTACAAGTAAAGATGCATTTCTTACATGCATATATTGTGTGGTGGTAAAGTCTGGGCTTTTAGTTTACCCATTCACCCCAGTAGTGATCATTATACCCAAAAGATTATTTTCAACCCTGACCCCTCCTCCCCTCCACTTTTTGGAGTCTCCAGTGTCTATTTTTCCGTTCTTTTTTTTTTTTAAACAGAGTTTCTCTTGTCACCCAGGCTGGATTGTAATGGTGTCATCTTGGCTCACTGCAACCTCCGTCTCCCGGGTTCAAGTGATTCTCCTGCTTCAGCTTTGCGAGTAGCTGGGATTATAGTTTCCCACCTCTACCCCCGGCTACTTTTTATACTTTTAGTAGAGAAAGAATTTCACCACGTTGGCCAGACTGGTCTTGAACTCCTGACCTTAGGTGATCCACCTGCTTTAGCTTCCCAAAGTGCTGGGATTACAGGACATGAGTCACCTTTCCTGGTCTATCCCATTCGTTATGTCTGTGTACCCATCGTTTAGCTCCTGCTTGAAAGTGAGAACATAGAGTATTTGACTTTCTGTTTCTGAGTTATTTTACTTAGGATAATAACTTCCAGTTGCATCCAGGTTGCTGTAAAATACATGATTTGATTCTTTTTTATAGCTGGATAGTACTATATGGGTGTGTGTGTGTGTGTGTGTGTGTGTGTGTGTGTGTGTGTGTAAGCCATTTTCTTTATCTGGTCCTCTGCTGAGGGACACTTAGTTTGCTTCCTTATGTTGCTGTTGTGAATAGTGCTGCAGTAAACATGAGTGTGGGTATCTTTTTGATATAAGAAGGAAATCTCCATTTAAATATATATCTTCTCAATTAATGTGTAAATATAATTATATGTCCAAAAAATTGCTAATATAAGTCACGGACTGTTGAGATTTGTCTTTGGGAGCCCTTACAGAGACCTCAACTTTTAGTGAAACTGCTTTATGGGGTGGGTTCCATTTTGTCACATGACACTCATTGAATGCTTTATAAATAATCTGATCATTTATTTGGGGATTGTATTTTTATGGTGCTCTAGTATACTTTTGGATTTTTTCCCAAGGTGATTTCTAGGTCTTTTCCTTTCAATCAGCTTTCAATTTCAATTGTTTGTGAATCTTCTTCTTACTAAAATAACAGTCATTCTTTTATTCAATAAACATTGATGCTAGGCACTGTTATATGAATGGGATACAAAGGTGAATAAGGTGCTTTTTCTACTCATGTGTGTTCATGGACTTTCATGTGCTACAGCCTGTTTAGCTAACCCTGCCTCTTGAACCCCTTCTCTTCTCTTTTGGTTGTCTTGATTCTTCCTGCTTTTTACTCCTTCAATCCAAAGCTGAATAGCCTGGATAGAGTTCCAGATTTTATTGTATTTAGCCTGGCGTGGTGGCTCACGTCTATAGTCCCAGCTACTTGGGATTCTGAGACAGGGTTTTGCCACGTTGGCTAGGCTAGTCTGGAACTCCTGGTCTCAATTGATCCACCTGCCTCATCATCCCAAAGTGCTGGGGTTTCAGGCATGAGCCTCTGTGCCCGGCCTGTCAATATATTTCAAAGTTCTGCCCCATTGTGAATCATGAACTTAAGAAATAGCTACTCAGTATTCTAATAGAGATCATTATTGTACATACCCTTCTAGTCTTTTTACACACAAAACACATACACATCTATCTATCTAATTGTCTTAAAATAGTTATCTTAAAAAACAGGATCTTGTAAAACATACTGCTTTGTAACTTCCCCCCATGTAGTTGTAATATATTTTAACGATCTTTCCAAGTACATATACACATCATTATATTTCGCTGTGGTTATATTAGAATTTGAATTGTCAAATGCCTATTGTTGAATAGTTAGGCCGTTTCCTCATTATGAGTGCCTTTGTACACTTGCTATTATTTATCTGCAGTAATTTTCAAAGAATGGAATTGGTGTATTAAAGGATATGTATAATTTAGAGGCAACTGATACATATTGCGTAGTTGTCCTACAGAAAATCTATTATTTTAGAAAAGCATATTAAAGTGTCAGTTTGTACTCTAATGCCATGTCATCATTAAAAAAATGACATTTTGTTGGATGAAGAAGATGATCCTGTTTTAATAAAAAAAAATACTAGTGAGATTAAACTTTCCCTCCAGTTCCATCCAGGTTGCTGCAAAATTTATGATTTCATTTTTTATGACTGGGTAGTATTCCATGGTATGTATATGCCATTTTCTTTATCTAGTCCTTTGTTGATGGATACTTAGATTCCTTATGTTTGTTGCCTTATGGTATAAAACAGTACAAATAAAAAATATACAAAATAAATATTAATGATTAATTTAATGATATAAATACTAATGATGTTTATTTTGTATATTTTTTGTTTTTACTCTTTTACAATTTTTGTTCTGTTAGGCTGTTGAACTTTTAATTATTGACTTGCTGGAGCTATTTCATTTTTTAGAGACAGGGCCTCACTCTATTGACTAGAGTTGCTTGGGAATTACTGAATTATTGAATTACTTTATCTTTTTCTCACTACTGTAAGAAATTATTATATACTAAATTCTTAGATAAATGTATATCCATTTCTGAACTTAGTATTTTTTTTCCTGCTACATTGGCCATCTATTCATATACTAGCAGCACACTGTTCAAATTATTATTGTTTTATCATACTTTTTTTTTTCTGAGATGGGAATCTCTCTCTGCTGCCCAGGCTGAAGTGCAGTGGTGGAATCTTGGCTCACTGCAGCCTCTGCCTCCCAGGTTCAAAAGATTCTCATTCCTCAGCCTCCCAAGTAGCTGGGATTACAGGCACGAGCCCCTGAGCCTGGCTAATTATTTTGTATTTTTAGTAGAGATGGGGTTTCATCCTGTTGGCCAGGCTGCTCTGGAACTCCTGGGCTCCAGTGATCCATCCACCTCAGTCTCCCAAAGTGCTGGGATTACAGGTGTAAGCCACTGTGCTCAGCCTTGTCATGCATTTAAATAAACATAAGGCTGCTCGGCACTGTGGTTTATGCCTGTAATCCCAACATTTTGGGAGGCCGAGGCAGGAGGATTGCTTGAGATCAGGAGTTCAAGAGCAGCTTGGGCAACACAGTGAGACTCAACCTCTACAAAAAAATTTAAATTAGCCTGGTATGGTGGTACATGCCTGTAGTCCCAGCTACTCCAGAGGCTAAGGAAAGAGGGTCACTTGAGCCCATGAGTTCAAGGTTACAGTGAGCTGTGTTCATGTTCATGCCACTATACTCCTACCCAAGCAATAGAGCAAGACCTGTCCCAAACAAACACACATGCATACATACATATACATACATTAGGTTAAATCTTGTCACACTTTCAAAGTTTTTCCTGGGTATTTTTACTTTTATTTCAGAATAACTTTTAAAACATTTGTAAAATTCTAGAAAAAATTCTGTTGGTATTTTGTTTGTAATGATGTTGGGTACATACACAATAGGGGTTGAATGGACACCTGACGATGTTAACTTTTTTAGGTGGTTTAGTACAAAAAAACTAAGGACCTACTGTGTGTAAGATGTTTAGAC